TTTCCTTATAAGTCATATCCTCCAGCCCCCTCACCATTTTTACTGCCCTCCACTGAACTCTCTCCGATTTGTCCACATCCTTTCCATAGTGGGGGCCCCAAAAGTGAACATGATACTCCAGATGTGGCCTCACCAGTTCTGAACAGAGGGAAATAATCACTTCCCTTGACCTACTAGCAGCATACCTACCAATGCAGTCCCATATGCCATTAGCCTTATTAACAAGGGCACACTGCTGGCTCATATTCAGCTTATTGTCCACTGTAATCCAGAGGTCCTTTTCTGCAGAGCTGCTGCGCAGCCAGTCAGCCCCAGCCTGTACTCGTGCATGGGAGGTTTCCATCCTAAGTGCAGGACTTCTCACTTCTCCTTGTTGAACCTCATGAGATTCATTTTGGCCCAATCCTCCAATTTGTCTACATCACTTTGCATCCTAGCCCTACCCTTGAGTGTATCTACTACTCACCCCAGCTTGGAGTCATCTGAAAACTTGCTGAGGGTGCACTCTATGCCATCTTCCAGGTTGTTGATGAAGGCAGTGAACAAAACCAGCCCCAGGACCAACCCCTGGGCCAATCCATTTGATACCGACTGCCAACTAGACATTGAGCCGTTGATTACTATGCTCTGAGTCCAATGCTTCAGCCAGTTTTCTATCCACCTTCTAGTCCATTCATCCAGCCCATACTTCCCTTGCTTGATTGCGAGAATGTTAGAGACCATATCAAAAGCCTTGCTAAAATCAAGGTGCATCACATCCACTGCTCTCCCTGCATCCACAGAGTCAGTCATCTCATCACACAAGGCAGTCAGGTTGGTCAGGCATGACTTGCCCTTGGTAAATCCATGCTGACTGTTTCTAATCACCTTCTTCTACTCCAAGTGTTTAGAATTGGATTCCTTGAGGACCTGCTCCATGATTTTTCCAGGAACTGAGGTGAGGCTGACTGCCCTGTAGTTCCCTGGATCCTCCTTGTTCCCTTTCTTAAATATGGGCACTATGTTTGCCGTTTTTTTAATCATCTGGGACCTCTCCTGATTGCCCTGAGTTTTCAAACATGATGGGCAGTGGTTTTACAATCTCATTAGCCAACTCCCTCAGCCCCCTTTGGTACATCCTGTCCAGCCCCATGGACTTGTACATGTCCAGCTTTTTTAAATAGTCCCTAACCTGTTGCCACTGAGGGCTGCTCACCTCCTCCCAAAACTGTGCTGCCTGGTGCAGGAGTCTGGGAACTGACCTTGCCTGTGGAGACTGAGGCAAAACAGGCATTAACCACTTCAGCCTTTTCTGCCTCCTCTGTCACAAGGTTGCCTCTCCCATTCAGTAAGGGACCCACACTTTCCCTGATCCTCCTGCTGCTACTGAAATACTTGTAGAAACCTTTCTTGTTACCCTTCACATCCCTTCCTAGCTGCAACTCCAATTGTACTTTGGCCTTCCTGACTTCATCCCAGCATGCCCCAGCAATTCTCTTATATTCTTCCCTAGTGATTTGTTCAAGTTTCCACTTCTTATAAGCTTCCTGTCTGTGATTTATTTTACTGAATAGTTCCCTGCTAAGCCAAGCTGGTCCTCTGCCATACTTGTTAGTCTTCCTGTGCATCAGGGTAATTTATTCTTACACTATCATCAAGGCTTCTTTAAAGTAGAGGCATTCCTGGATTTCTCTCCCCTCAGACTGGCTTCCCAGGGGATCCTTCCCATAAGTTTCCTAAGTGAGTTGAAGTCTGCTTTTCTGAAATTCAGCATCCTTACTCTGCTGGCCTCCATCCTTCCTCTCCTCAGGATCTTGAACTCTATCATCTCATGGTCGCTGCTTTCCAAGTTGCCATCCGCTTCTAATTCTCCACCAATTCTTCCCTGTTTGTGAGCAGCAGGTCAAGAAAACCATGGCCCCTAGTAGGCTGCTCCTGCACTTGCACCAGGAGGTTGTCCCTAGCGCTCTCCAAAAATTTCCTGGACTGCCTGTGCGCTGCTGTATTACCCTCCCAGCAGATGTCAGTGTGACTGAAGTCCCCCATGAGAACCAGGGCCTGTGATTGGGAAACTTCCACTAGCTGTTTGTAGAAAGCCTCATCCACCACTTCCTCCTGAGCTGGTGGTCTATAGCAGACCCCCACCATGATGACATCACCCTTGTTGCTTTCCCCTCTGACCCTAACTCAAAGACTTTTGACAGACTTATGTCCAGTTCCATACTAGAGGTCTGAGAAATCATGACTCTTTCACATAAAGTGTAACTCCTCCTCTTCTCCCCTTCCTGTCCCCTTCCTTAACAGTTTATATCTATCCATGACAGTGCTCCAGTCATGCAAGCTCCCACCACGTCTCTGCTATTCCAATCACATCATACTTCTGTGACTGTGCAAGGACTTACAGTTTTTCTTGCTCTTCTTCCAAGTCTGCCGCTTCGCCACTTACCTCAGGGCTTTGGTGTCCATCCCTAGCAAACCTAGTTTAAAGCCTTTCTCACTAGGTTAATGAGCCTGTCTGCAAAGTTGCTCTTCCCTCTGTCAGGTAGATCCTGTTTCTTCCCAGCAACCCTCTGCCTGCTTCCAAGGTCTTTGCAGACCACACTACCCCAGTGCATCCAGATCTAGCCCCTGCAAGGACCTGCAATTGAAGGGGAAGCAGTAGGAGGCTGGGTGGAGGTGGAGGTGGAGGGGGCAAAAAGGTGCCAGGCAGCTGCGGGATCTGGTGGAGGTCCAGGTGTGCAGGAAAAGCATGGGCTGCAGAGCCCAAGAGCAAGCGGGAAGGGGGAAACCCTTCATTCTGCTGCTGCTGCTGCTGTCCAGCTGATTGGGTTGGCAGAGCAGTGATCTGAGGGTGGAGGGGCCAATCCTAGGGTGGAAGTGGGGATCTAGGAAGCTAATAAGGGGGGTGCAGCAGGGTGATTTGAGGATTGGAAGCCTGATAAAAGTGGCATGGTGGGGGGAGTGTCCTTCTCCCCACCTCCACCCTGGCCTATAGTGTGGCTACAGAGCTGGTGAGGAGGGCAGCCATGAAGCAGCCTATCAGTCCTTAGCCATATTCCTGCTCGCCATCCCTCTAGTGGCAGGTCAGAGTGCACATTAGAGATGGTATTAACCATTAAAGGGATGACTGATTGCTAGTACTCATTAACCTTAATGCAAACTATCTTGCCTTAGAATTAGCATCTTCTAACTGTAATGTGTGATCTCATCCTGACTGACATGTGATATTCATAGAAGTTATTCCTAGTTGTCCACAAAAAGGTTTGGCCCTTGAAGACCTGAAGGAGCTGTAGTTCACTGGCTTACATGCAATATTAATTTACATCCAAAATCCCCACAGTCATCATAATAAACACATGCCTGCAATGTAAAAAGAGGTTCTGCAGGCTCTCTGGAAAATGGCAAGTCCGAAGGGATGCCAATGGATTTGTGCCTAGGCCAATATTTGGTTTGCTGACCATACATTGTTTGTTGGTGGTCTCTTGCCCAGGAGAGATTCAGGACTCTGTTACAGACTCTAAAATGATTGAAGTGAAAATATGGGGAATTCCTCCCCCAAACTGCTGTCTCTGAAGGAGGCTGTTTAGTTAGTTGTTGTGTTTGTATAATTCACTGTGCTCTCTCTCTATCTCAGGGTCAGATTTTATCTTCATGACAGCCTGTGCAGGATGGTACTACTATATCCACTGTGCAGACCTTGGCTAGATTTTATAACTTTGCCATATGCTTGTGGTTACTCCCTTCAGTAAAAGTTCTTAGGCTTGGCTTCAAGGTCCCAGTCCTGCAATTAAAGAAATATGAGCAGACCACTTTACTGAGAGGCAGGCAGCTGAAGGCTATTTCCCCAGTGGAGGGAAAAAAGTCCAGAAAAGTAGGAGAGTTTGACCTGTCCTCAGATTTCATAGCAACTGCACTGCACATCACCAATGTTCTGCTTCCATTTGCACTATCATGACTGGTATTAAAATAAAAGAGAGCAAAATAGCTAATTACAATAAACTTGAAGAAACAACAATTGCATTAGGTGATTTTATTCCATCTCATATAACTTTATTGTGCAGAAACAAATATTACATCTGTCACATCACATGAATTCAGTACATAAGAGAGAGCATCACAATCTTGCAAAAAATATTTTCTCCCACATTTCTTTGCATTTCTAACTCCTACATTATTTTTCCAGAAAACAGGTGAATTTTTCATAAACCCTGAGATTTGGAGGGGAAGAAACCCTTTTTATATATATTATTGTTACCAACTGTCATAGTGTTTTGTGTTTCCCTTGGAGCCATTTGAACATGTGAATCTACACATTCATTTAAAGGAAGAAAGAAAAATAAGCTGCTGGGACTCATGATGAAAAAAACCCCAAACAAACCAAAGTTTGGAAAGTATATACCACAAATGTTGAACTTCAACAGAAGGGAAATAAAGAAAACTCCAAAATTATTATTAAAAAAGAAGAAAAAAATCCACCCATTATATTTAAGCCAGTCCCCATTTTTGCTGTTTTTGTTGTTTCCTTGTCAGGCCTGAATTTTGAACAGTTGGCAGTCCTGGTGTTTGAAACAGCTTCAGCTCATTTTCCAGATCATTTTTTGTCCTGGCAAACAGTTTCTTCTTTTAAGGGCACCCAGACCTTGCAGCACCAGAGCTTTGTTGCCAAATTGGAAGCAGCCTGAAGGTTATAGGGCCCGAAGTGTTGTAATTCACATATACCTCACCATCATTTTTATTAATCCCAGATGTTTGCTTGAATGTATGCTTGTAACAATTCAGGAGTAAAACTTAACTCATCTGAGTTCAATAGTAATGAAAACCTGCAGCTGATCAGATCTGTCTTCACCCTAAGGGTACAAACAGAGGACAGTGAAAGGATACATTTTAGGGCTCCTTTTGCCACACTCAGCAATGAGTCAGGTCAAATAAATAAGCCATAAACCAATATGCCTCAACTTCTGCTTTTTTTTTTCTCAACCTCAGGAGCGATTGGTGGCTGAGACGAGACAACCTGAACTAACACTTTGTAGACTACCCCTCCTTATGCTACAAATAAGTCGTGCTGTAAGGGCTTTGTTTTATAAGCTGTGTGTATGCTGAGTGGTTACTGTATTTCATCCCATCTTATTTGTATGCACTAGTTCTTTATTATACGCGCGCACACACAACTATTTCCTTTGAAAATCCTACGTGCACTTATTCTCAAGCACTAGAATAAGTGTACTTATGGGTACTTTCATGAACACACGCTTTGACAAATTCAGGTTTGATTAATTTATTACACTGCAGAAATTCAATGGCACAGTCCTCGTCCCTTCTCTCCAAACCTATGGGTCACCCAAGTTGTTTTTCAGCTAGCTACAAGAACCGCTGCATGACAGTCTATGGTTTAGAGCAAACAAGGTGGTCACAATGGTACTTTCTTGCCTCAGAATCTATCAAAAAGATGAGAAGGCCAGAAAATGTATGCAGGGAAGAAATCCCAGCACTTGTCTAACTAGATTTAGCATCAAGATTATACTCTGGAAAATAGCTACCAACAAAGTATAAAGCTCAAGGCAGGGGTCAGGCAGTGGAGTGCTGAAAGGATAGAGGCCTACTGAGATAAAGGGTTATAACCAGTGCTGGCCTGAAAATAATGCTATGGCTGCTCTAGTAAAGGGGAAAAAAAGATTCTAAATGAAATCAATGAAGCAAGAGCACTGATAGCTTAGCAGCACACTGGCATGGTGGAGCTGAAAGGGAAAAACCACTAGGGGAAAAAGTAATAAACTCATTCTACCCATGGGCAGACTTCACAGCAGTTGAGTAAGACAAATAGAAGAAAGCGGCTGTTACTGCCCAGAGGGAAATGTAATGACCCAAGTTATGACCTGCCAAAGAAAGAAACCTACAGAATAACACAGAGCCACAGGCCTGGGAAGTTATCTGGAGCTGAAATAGGGTCTGAGCAAAGTGCAAGTCAGCAGAGGGGTGATGAGGGCAAAAAGTGGGACAGAACTTAATGAAGGAATTCTGCTTGGAAAAAAAAATGGGATAGGAGCCGCCTGCACGTTACTGTTCACCTTGACAAGGTCTGGATACAGGATATAACATATGACAGAACCAAAGTAATGTGTGGCAGAACAAAATGTCAGAAAATAATTGCAAAGGCAAGGAAAAGGTAAAATACTATGGGGTTCCTCTCTTCAGTGCCAACAGTTTGTTGCTTCAGTCCCTTGAGTTATTATTCCTAATTTAAATAACGTTCAACAGTAAAAGAGAGGGGACAGGACATCAACTTTATATGCCGTGGAGGTAAGCTTCGGGACTAAAATGCGCGACAATCCATGAAATGACAGACACAAGCAACAGAAAACATAAGAGAGTTATGAAAAGACATAAGCTAATGCTTTCACAGCAAAAGAATCAAAAGAATCACGGCATTTCTGCAGCATGTGTGTGTTAGGGTCCCCCCTTTTCCAAGGGGAAAGATGGGACACATGCCTGCCTTCCCCCCCTGCCTCTCCCACCACTGCCAGCATGGCTGAATGAGAGCAAAGAAGGGGTGGATGATTGTGTGTGTGTGTGTGTGTGTGTGTGTGTGTGTGTGTGTGTGTGTGTGTGTGTGTGTGTGTGTGTGTGTGTGTGTGTATATATAGAT